GTACATTGCATACAAGAGAGATACCATCCCATCTTAATCATTTTCCATGCCCGATATGGGAGCTCACCACACTACTAACTTGGCCAGAATACAAAACTTCCTACAAAACTACTGAACCAATTAGGACTCTGCAACTGTCAACTGAGTGTACTAAATAGGTGTTTGGCATCTACGTCAATCCAAATGGTTTTTTCTAAAGAAGAAAAAAGAAAAGTGAACTCCTATAATTGCGAATGCAGGCATACATGAAGAAAATGTATGGAAGCTAAATCCTAAATAAATGCTTCAATCCTAAATCAACCCAAACAATTTTTCTGGACAAAAATGAAAAATAAACTACCATAATGCCATGGGATAAGACCATAGGAAGGTGCACAACATGAGAAATTTATGACCAGTAAACTTATACAGCACTTGTAAACTGAAGTTCCGATTCATTACGCTTCCAACAACAACAACAAAGCCTTTTGATTCATTACGCTTCCACAATAAGAAATAGTTTATCCTGGCTTATTGAAAGTAAATTAAGGTACCAGCACCAACACCTTTACTCCAAAGAAAAAATGATTACCTGCATACTTGTTAGATGTCAGATCAAGAACTTCTTCGTTGCCTGTGTTGAAAGATAAACTCTCGCTTCTACTCATGTTCTCTATATGAGGAAAGTGATGCCTAATGGCATAGTCTGCAAGAGCACGAACAATTTCAAGGTCCTCCTTTTCTCTAGAGGCATGTATTTGGTATGACCCAAAACGCAGAAAGGATGGAGAAACCCTGCAAACAATTGCACCAGGCTCCTCTTTTGGATTGCCACTGCAAATGAAGACATGAGGAATTTATTTTTAAGAAGAGAATAAGAAGAACATATATTCCTAAAAAATTCATCCTTTCCCCGAGCAAGATATTGATATCTTAGCATAAGATCAAACCAAGAAGGTTCATATATCTCAAAGACCAAAGAGAAATTATCCAGTAAAGATGGTGTATGGTTCTCGTAGTAAAACATGATTAGGTAGAAAAATACTAATTGCATAGAGTTCTAATTAACATACTCATAGAACATGTCACGTGTGACAAATTTTCCTGTTGTCACAAGACAGAGAGCTCGTGTTGTTGGAATTCCAAGATTATGCATTGCTTCACTGCAAAGGAATTCCCGAATGCTACTACGAAGCACCGCAAGGCCATCTGCAAACCGACTGTAAGGAGTCTTTCCAGCACCTTTAAGCTGAAGTTCCCACCTTTCAGACTTAGAATTAAGAACCTCCCCAAGAGTAATAGCCCGCCCATCTCCCAACTGTCCAGCCCACATGCCGAATTGATGTCCACCATAGCATTGAGCATAGGGTAACCTGCATAAATAAAGCAGTTACGATCCAGTTGTTGATGAAAATTGACAAGCACAAATGTGAGTCTCATAACATAATATTCAGAGAAGCACTTACGATCCCACCAAGGGAGATGCCCCAGAGAATAAAGGAGGGAAATCTGGCCTTTCAAATCTGTAACTCCAAATAAGGTGGCAAATTAGTCCCATGAAACATGACATACCACATGTGCAAAACATATGTACTCATCATTCATCCGAGTGAAGTACTATGGTATATCAGTCAAGGTTTAGTAACAGCAAGTCCAAAACCAAAGCAGTCATACAAGATGCAAAATACATGTACAAAGGAAACAATAGCCTCAGCTAAATATCAGAACTCGAAGAAAAGAAAATTTCAATCAATAACACGAATCTTGACAAACATGTGAAAATTTAGCAACTCCAAATGTATAAATTATCTGGGGGACTAATTTACCATACGTCCACTTACAAGTTATAATAGTAGTGTCATGTTATTTACACACTGATCTAATTTCCTAAAGTACCAACCATAAGGTTCTTGTGTAGAGGTAGAAACAGATTCAGGTTCAAACTTCCAAGGACCATCAAAACCATTATCCATAATATATGCTGTCAAACACCAGTTTTTCTTTCTGATACCACCAAACACTCTGAAGATAAAGTTTATTTTCTCATCCACGTTCTATAAAAGCATTAACAGTTGATGTTCCCAGGAGCACAAGAAACAAGAACACTCACTCTTTAGGATCCAAATCAAGAAACTCAGCAACAGATTCTGACCATGCAACAAGCTGAGGATTTTCAACTTCAGCAGACGGGGACACTTTCGTATAACAAGCATGCAATACCTGATAATCAAAACCCAGAATGCATAACATCAAATTACAACATAATACCCCATCAGCTAGTAAAAATTTCAAATTATAGCACAAAGCAAGAGATCTATCACAATAAACACTATCATGGCACTGTTCCATAGCCAAATTAAGTGAACTCGATAAGAACGAGCTCTTGGACTTCCACGATTCTAATTACAACGCATCGCCATCACCCCCTCAGCTAGTAAAAATCAAAGGAGCTCAAAGCAAGATATGAAATCACAATCAAACCTATCAATGGTACAGTTCCATAGCCAAATTAAACTAACCCAACTAACAACACCCAAACTGTCAGCCACTCAGCAATTTCTCAATTGAGTAAGTACAAATTCCAAAGCAGTTATGCATAAATTTAACAATTTTTCTGATTTGGGCATGAAACAAAAGAGTAAATGCAAGCCTTTAACTAGTACACACACAGAACCCACATATGTTCCAATTTCTTATTTGGTTTTCCACCACTTTCTCAGGAACCAAACAGAACCCAGTTCACAACACACAAATCGTAAATTACTTGGTCATTTCTCGATTGAGCAACTACAATTTACTAAGCATTTATGATTAAAGTCAACAACTTCTCCGATTGGTTACGAAACAAAAACGCAAGTGAAAGCCTTTAGCTAGTAACAAACACACACCCAACATACATTATACACTTTCATTTCCTCCATTTCTCAGCAACCAAACAGAAAATAACCCAAACATCAAAACAGAACAGAAAAACAAGCTAACCTCTCGCGGAATCGTATCGGTCCGAGGATCACCAGGCAGCTCTCTGGTAAATGAGTTGTCCCAATTCAGATCTTCGAGCTTCAACCTAACCCTCTGAGTGTTACTTACACCGTTGCTTTCATTCTTGCAAATCTTCTCATCGCCGCCGTCGCTGGCCAAGCTCTGATTCTGAAAATCATGCGTCACGGAGTCGACCGACGCGGCGGCCTGCGGCGTGGGTGAGTCCATGGGTGCTTGCCGTTGGCTGCGGCCGCAGCTGAGGTTGCATGCGAGGAGGGGCAGCCTGGGAATTTCGAAGTGATTGGAGGGGTAAAATGGGAATTTGGATGGGCGACGGCGGAAGTTGAGGGCGGTGGAGAGAGCGAGGCGAGGGAGGGGAAGTGAGGAGAGTGAGGAGAAATGCGAAATGATCTGCATTTTTCTTCTGTTAAATAAAATTTTGGGGTTTTTTTTTTGCTTAAAAGTACAATTTTGTCATAAAATAAAACAATTTCAAAAAAAAAAAATTCAAACTAACATAAATAAATAAAAAATATATATATATATATATATATATATGCATAGTAATAAATGACTATGATTCACCCACACATTATCCTCCTCCCCTCCTCCCGAAATTTAGTGAGAAAAGCAGCAATTGACGACTATGAGCGAGCTTGGCAGTAATGCATCTCTCACTAGGATATGAGTAAGGTGATCTTACTTATTAATAAATAGAAAATTTTAACGAAAAGCTCATGTATTGTTTATTTTAGCGAAAAATCACATTTTTACATTAAAAAGTCATCATAGTATATTCATTTTACTATTTATTTTGTCATTATCGTTAAAACTTAAAGTTTTCAAACATTTTTCATTAGTTTTTCTTAATAAATAATCAAATCTATGATTGCATTTGCACAATGCATGATTGGTTGCAAACACTGTTGCATTTACTACTGTTATACTCTGAACTTGTAACATGTATTCAAAGAGAAAAACCCTATTGTGTCTCAAGTGGAGAGGTTGTTTGTAGTTTTACGTTTTTTGCTGGATAATTTTAGTTGCTTTTAATTAATTTAACTTGTTGGTTCTAATTATCACACTTTTAAAACTCTACTTATGGCTTTGTTGCCACTATGGTGATGGTCAACAATCTCTACCCTTAGTCTAATGGTTAATTGGGTTGAGTGTGTCAATTGTTTTCATTACCGTCGCCATAATCGTTACCACTGTTGCCACCATAACCAAAACTGCCATCACTACCGCCATCACTATTGCCACCCCTCTACCACCATTGTAATCTATACTCCAAACCACCACTCTTTGCTATTGATACCCAACCATACTTTCACAATTGTTCTTGTCATAACCATCACCCCCGCAGGCCCACATCGCCAATGCTACTGCCATTGCTACCACTGTCATCACCACAACCTATGACTACATCCACCAACCTACAACACTGCCGCCATCACCACCACCACCGTTGTCACACTAGTAACACTATAATCGTAGCCACTATCGCTGCCATCTCTACAATCCAACCACTCTATTATGGTGCTACCAATACACCCCCACTATTGTCGGTGTCATCACTGCAACTACCTTGTCATCTTTGTCGTTGCCACCACCTCCATACAATGTATGTTGTATCATTATGTACCACGCTTGTACACCACTTTTCATACTCACAAACTTTTAAAAAATACAGTTTATCAAACATTCAACTGGTTTATTTTATAGTTGATTATCTCAAAGAACATGAGAGGTAGTTTTTTTTTTAAAGCACATCAATTCCAAACTGGTGCTTAGTTTGTTAACTAACATGGCTCATATGTGAGACCTACATTTGAGCGCCAGGTGTGTACTCGAAAAAAAAGAAGATAATGCTATCTACATACTCATTTTTACTTCTCACACACTTTTCTCAAAATTTCAATCATCGGATCAAAAAATAAAATAATAAAATTTGACAAAGGTGTGTATGAGAAATAACATAAGTAAGAGAAAAACCATCAGCCAATAGGAAACACGGAACTGAAACTGAATTATTAACTGAAAAAATTAGGTCGCCACAAGAACTAGTTTGAAGTCCGCGACTTCCCTCCCTCCCTATCTCCAATCTTCAATCCCTCTGCCGGAATTCAATTTCTTCGAATTCACACTCCAAGTCCAATTCCCACTCTTTTTACCCCACAACTCTTCGAAATTCTAGTTACGCCCCACAATTAGAACAGGTATTCCATTCCCATTTCGCTCCCATTGACGTCAATCGATCGTCACCACTATTGGGGCCCTAATTTCAACTTCTTTGAGGTTTTGGGACCGTACTGTCCTAAAATTGGGTCAAATTTTGCGAATTTATCTGTTTTGGAGGGTACCAGTAGGTACAAGTTCAAGTTCTCGATGAAATTGATCGAATTTCCGACGTGGGTTTGCTGAATTGATCGGGGTTGACGTGGGTTTGCTAGGGTTTTAGCGAAAGTCTTGGTTAGGAGCGGTGATGGACTACGAACTCTCAGATAGCAGTGGTAAGCTAAGTTGAATTTGCTTATCTGTTTTTCAATTTTGATTTTTATGTATTTTTGTTTTTCTAATGTGTAATTTATTGGTTCTCAGAGTAATTTTGACTCAAATTCGTGAATTTGGGTTTGATTACTGCTTTTGATGTGTTTTTTACTGTGAATTCATTGTTTTTGTGGGATTTCCTTGAATTTGTACTACTTTGGTCTACCATGGTTGAATTCGAAGAAAGTTTATTGTAATGTAGTTTGGCTTTTGTTCCGGCTTGTGCTTTGGCTTTAATTGTAATGTAGTGTACCCGGCTTGTGCTCGGAGGTACTAGGATTTTGTTTTTGGCTTTGTTCTTTCTTTTAGTTTGTATAAGTTGGTTTGGAAGCACCATGTAAGAGCTACAAGTTCTTCCACTTTGGTGTCATTATGTTCTGGAGATTGATTCTGATTCGGGAAATCCCATTCTTCCCGTCTTTAAGTTGGTCTTGCTTGGTGTTTTAAATTTTGTGCCTTGCATTCTGAACACTGGATGGACGCCCGAATGATATTTACTTTTTTGTGAATAGTGCTTGGAATTGTTTCAGTTTCATCCTTTGAGAAAAGTCACTTGTAACTGTCCTCTGTGGAATTTTGTCAATGGTAGTTAGGTCCGATTATTCCGTTTCTAGCCAAGGTCACCGCATAGGAGAAAAAGGCTGATGGTGCGAGAAAAGTAACAGATCGGCGTAAAGTTAAGAGTTCTTGATATATTGGTCACGTTTTGTGTGTTTGTCGTTGGTTTGTTTTATTCAGAAAAGTTGGCAATTAAGGCTGAAAATTATGGCTTATATTAGTTTAACATATTTTAACAAAAGGATGCGTTAGTTTAGTGTCGGAATAGTGAAAGATGCATTTTGAGCATGAGAGTTATTATGTTTCTGTTATAAATACCTGCAAAGCTGTTTTGTTCTGTTGCATGACAACAATGAGAAAAGCAATAGTTATTTTTCCGAATCAGCAAAATATTTAACATTGTAACCAAGGTATCTTTCTTTTTCCTTTTTCTTGTTTATTTAACATTGGTACTACTCTTGGATGCTAAAGCAACATTTTTAGGGGACTGTGCATGCATCTAGAACCTATCATCTGTATTATCAGAAAATGTTGGTGTGATTTACAATTTTAGTTCCTTTTTCACTAGTGTCACGACACTTTGAGGAAGGAGTGCATTCTTACGTGGTTTGTCTGGAATATAAGATCTGTATTTCTATATACATATAGTTTGTGCATACTTTATGAGGCACAGATACAAGAAACTGCCTGCTAAATATGTTGCATGCATATAACTGAAAAAGGTGGCTATCGTGGGGACAAGGCCCTTAGAAATGAAAAGGATTCCATGGTTTCCTATTGCAATGCACTTGAAAGACCTAATAGACTTGTTACTGAAGCTAGAAATAATAGTTTTGCTATGTTCTGAAACATTTGCAGGAACGGATGATGACCTTCCGCCGTCTCATCAAAATAGGTTTCAAAGAGGAGGCCGAACTTCTGGGAATGGAAGGTCAGCAGCCGTCGGTTCTGCTCCATTATCTAGGATGCATGGTGACATGGAAATCCAGATTCACCGCATTGAGCAAGAAGCATACTGTTCAGTTCTAAGGGCGTTTAGTGCTCAATCTGATGCCCTCACCTGGGTAGCTGTTTGATTAATTATTCGTAGTTTTTCTTCCGCTTTTCTTTTGGATCAAAAGTATGATTGTGTTAACTTAGGCCTGAAAGTCAGTTCTTATGTACTTTACAGGATAAGGAAACTTTAATTACGGAACTTAGAAAGGAGCTGAGAGTATCTGATGAGGAACACAGAGAACTTTTGTCCAGGGTCAATGCCGATGACATGATCCAGAGATTAAGGTCTGATTATATTATGCCATGTTGGTTTGAGCAGCAAAGACATTTGGATAGCTCTGCATTTTTTTATGAGAAATGTTTTACTATATGCTATTAGGGAATGGAGAAAAACAAGTGGGGTCCAACATGGTACACTTAATGCTGCTCAGCCTGTTCATGACCCCCTGCCTAGTCCAACTGTTTCAGCATCACGCAAGAAACAGAAAACATCACAGTCCTTATCCCTCGGTGCTGCAACTCCTGCGTTGCCTCCATCCATGCAACAATCCTCTGCAGCTTTGAGACGAGGTCCTCCTCCAGGACCTCGGAACAAGAAACCAAAATCTGTAAGTTGAAATAATCCTGGGTTAAGAAAATGGTGCAATGCTATTTATATATTCTTGGATTTGTTTTTCCCTGTTCTTTTCTAATGGAGTTTGTTGCCTGCTTTTGAAGTCCACACAGTACCCTTCTGCAAATATTCCTGGAAGGCCCCAAGCCACTAATCGAGGTCCTACCGGTGCCTTTGTGGAAAATGAGCCTGCTGAGGGAGAAACTGATGATCCGTTAGTAGGAAGAAAAGTTTGGACAAGGTGGCCTGAAGACAATCACTTCTATGAGGCTGTTATAACTAATTTCAACCGTGCTGAGGTATGCTTTTGCTGTGAATTCATCTGAACCTGAGTAAGCATTTTTTAATTTAGCAGTTTTGACCACGCAACTCCAATATAAATCTTCGTGAATTCTAACAATTCTCAAATGTTGACAGGGTCTACATGCTCTGGTTTATGATATTGGTACAGTGGATGAGACATGGGAATGGGTCAATCTAAAAGAGGTATACTGCTATTGATGTTTCTTTCGTAGGCCTTTAATCCTTTTGTTTATCAAAGATATATTCTTTATCTCATAAATAATTAAATTTGAAATCTCAAAAATCAAAGTTTTTGCTTTTTGTTTTTGCACATTATGACAAATGAGTTTGCGCGGGTTTATAGCACTTCAGGAGAATCTGAGGTACTTTGCTTTTCTGTGCTTGTTTTTGCAATTATTTAAACTTAAATCTGTACTCTATGCTAAGTTTTTCAATTCCTTAACCATTTTATTCATAATAAAGCTACGATTGCAGATTGATTTTGAGTTACCTCATTATCACCATGTAAATCTTCATATCAAAAGTTTGTGCTTTTTGATACTGAGCAGTGTTCTTATATATTTTACCATGGGTCCGTTTGATAACTATTTAGTTTTTAGTTTTCACTTTTTGTCCTTGGGATGTGGAGAAAGTAGGGATGAACATCAAATACTTGCTTAACATTGTACTGACATTGTAATGGGTTGTGGACCTTGTGGCCCATTAGATTGTGTTTGTGATTTTCCTTGTGAGCTCATTTCCCGATTGCTTTTTGCTAATTGTTGTTGTTCCTTCTAATGATATAGATATCTCCTGAAGATATTCGGTGGGAAGCTGATGATCCTGGGATTTCTCGTAAAGGCGGTCGACCTGGACCTGGACCTGGACCTGGCCGAGGGAATAAAAAGTCCACGGCACGTGGTGGTGCAGTTGCAGGTGCAGGAAGAGGTAGAGGGACTGCAAAGGGTTCCAAGAAGGATTTGCCTCCGCAACTAAATGGCATTGGCAGGAAGGCAATGAGCGACATTGAAATACTTCATACAGGCTCGTTGATTAAAGAGGTATAAGTATGACGATTTAAGTTTTTTCTTCCCCGCTTTTCCTCCAATTACCTGGTGGTAACTTGTTTTTCCCGCTTTGCTTGAAACTATAGGTGGAAAAGGTTTTCAGAGCCAGCCATCCTGACCCCATGGAGATTGAGAAAGCCAAGAAAGTTCTCAAAGTATGAATTCAAGCATCTTTTATGCTTTATTTGCGTGATGTTCTTTAATTGCCGGGATTGTAATGGTTTATATAAAACGCAGGAGCATGAACAGGCACTGGTCGATGCAATTGCAAGACTCGAAGATGCATCTGACGTTGAAAGCGGTAATAACTAATTGCATATAACCCATGTTCTATAATACATAATAAAGCTCCACTGCCTTATGTTGTATCTTTAGTCCTTATTAGTCAGATTTGACTAGTACTTACTGTGTACAACTTTTCAGTTAAAACTTTCTGTAATTTTTAACATCAAGGTCATCATGCTGCTATGTTGCGTATATATATTTTCCGAAAATTACAATGGATGTATTATCTATTATTGCAGTGAATGTATCTCTGAAGCAGCACGGCTGCGCAACGTCTTATTAACTTTTGCTGATGACCAATGTCCCATTTTTCTTCCTTGTTTGGCTTCAAAACAGATGAACATACATTCTCCCAAAGACAATCACTAGACCCAGAACGCGGATGGAGAAAACGGCAGTATGACGAAATGGCTGAAGGTCGGGGGGGTTGATGGTTCAAATGGCAACAAAATGACCAGGGACGGCAGAATTGCATCCGATGATCAACGTTTTGAGAGTGACGACATATGATATATTCCTCCTTGTAGTATCTGTGCCATGTTCGGATTTGATGTCGAATCAAGTGAATGATTAGTGTAAGCGTTAGGCTTCGTTTCAGTTTTAGTTTAACCTTAATTATGTTTTCGGGGTTGTACTGGATGACACTTGACTGTAAAGATTGATTTAACGACTCTCTTTCTCTCGTATTTGTTGAGACATCAGCTTAATTTTACACCGAAAGCACATAGCAACCAACTAAGCTCCTGCAAATTACACACGATTACAAGTTAGCATACACATACATCAGCGGCACGATGCTAACGGGGAGAATCTGATCGGTGCGGATCTGATCCGTTCTGATATAGAACAACTCCATTACACATGGTTGATTACCTACAATGATGCAATGAATTCAAGGATAAGATTCACCATCTGTGCATCATAAGCAGGGCCTTCCATTTGGAAGTGGCCTGCTCCTTCAATCAGGTGTGTTTCAACACGACCGGCTGCAGAACTCAGCTTGTTCTTTAACTGCTTCACGCTCGTGAACCCGTCCTGTGTCCCCATTACGAAAAGTTTGGGTTTTGAGGATTGTAGTACGGCTTTGTGGTGTCTCCCGAAAAGGATTGAGGCAAGCATGCCGAAAGGATACCCCAGACTAACATAGCCCACAACTTGTTCAACCTGATCTACCGCAGAGCCTGCAATCGGGGCACCTACACCGTAACATAGGGAAATTATAAAACATATGAGGAAATTATGTTACTCCCTGCTCAAATGATCATAAAACGAACAAAACAGACAGGACTATGAATAACATCTTATGTTTTTCCGACCATGTCTACAACAATTATGTGCGGTTCATACCAGAAAGATCCTAGATCATGCTTCATAGTTTACCACAAGATTATTTGCAGAAAAAAAAAAAAACCATCTATTTCTCACTAAAACTGATTGACCTTGTGATTTTACTTATGTCCTTGTATCGATTTTCATATTGCAATTACTAGAGAGCATAAACAAAACATCGAAAACCAAAAATTGCAATTCAGAACAAGAAGTTAAGGAGCAACAGTGAGAGGCTGTTCGAAATTACAACGATGCTAGATTTTATCAAATCATAGCTCAAGTCCCTCACAATTACTAGAAACTTAGGCTTCTCATCATTTATCATCTTTTACAACATTTACAATCTCCAGTCGAGCTAGAGAAACCTACCATTGTTGCACATAACATTTTTCATCATACTTATATTTGCCTTGAATGTGATCAAAATCCAAACTTTTGAATGATCGAAGGACAGTTCGATCAGCAACACGAAAGTCAGAAATACTCCAAACAACATTACCAAATGAAATTCCAACTTCTTCACACTTATATGGGAAAACTAACATTACCAATGAAATCCTAGCCTCATATCATCAATTCTCCCTCAAATCCAAAGCCTTCTTTAATTTTTCGACGACGCTTCAGAAAGTAATTAGTAGTTATCTACGTAACACTCTGATCACTTCGCAAACTAATATCCAAATTACAGATCCACACAACCATTCACCAAAACAATCAAAGAAGCAATCTTTAAACCACCACAAGCTAATACACAATCCACAGATCCAAAAAAATCATCCACATAAAAAACACCCCCTTTAATTTATAACCAACATGCTTAATCCAATAAAAATTGCAGAAACATATTCTAAAAGAAAATAAAATTCAAACATATTATACCTGCAGAAGAACCCACCAACAAAATCCTGTCAGCTGATTGATTCTCAGAAACCCATTTGCACAGCAATCACATCCTTAATTTCTGCAAACCCAGTGAGAGAGGCCCTTCCTGTTGACCTCCCAACCCCTCTCATGTCAAAGGTCAAAGCTTTATAGCCTCCGTCTGCCAACCCAGCTGCTATTCCTCTCAACAGGCCTTGGCAGCCGCCGAGGACGGAGTATGGGTGCACCAGAACCACCACAGGGCTGCCCTTCTTGATCTCTTCTTCTTCTCTGGGTTTGAAGAGCTTTGCGCTGAGCTTGACTCCATCGCTGGTCTCAACTGTGCAGCGCTCCACCGTACAGTTTGACATCAGGGGAAGAGACAGAGAGGAAGTTGTTGGGGTAGCTGGTGAGAGAGTTTTTTGGTGGATGAGAAAGTGACAAAACTGGTATGGCTTTTGCCCCTTGCTTTTCGGAACATAATAACCCCCGTCTCGCTGTAAAACTCATAACTTTTAAAAATCATACGTATAAGTATGAAAACTAAGGCATTAATATTAAACCAGTTAATTCAAGAATACATGTATATCATCATTGTCTTGTGATATTCATCTTTACTTGTAGGTGAGAGTTTTTAAATTCGATTATGTTAAAAACAAATTTAAAGAATACATTTATATTACAATAAATCTCAAATATAGTAAGTATGATATAATATTCTCATAAGAAATGCAGACAAACAAGCTTATCCAAGGGAGGACACTCTAAGCAGAACAAGTTGGGTGTATAAATCTACGCTCAAGTACAAATACACGTGAAGGTGGTGCAAGGCACATCACACTTCAGTCTTGAAAGATAAATGCAACTAGTACAGGCTAGAACTAAAAAAATCCAAAGTGAGCATAACGTGCAGTGTGAACATACATGTGAAGTTGATCATGATCCTAGATAGCACTATAGACACCGGTTTAACATACATGATGAGCTAATAAAAGATGTATGATCATGCCATAATAATGTTCACAAAACACATAAATAATAACGTCTTCAATATTCGGAAAATTCTATTCTAATCCTTGTCTAAGATTAAAAACTAATTCTAATCCTTAGCATTTAATTTTAATTTTTTTAATATTAAATAGGTTGTAATAATTATTTAGTTTTTTGTTTGTAGGTTATATATTGATTCCCATAAATAATAAAAATGTTATTTATTAAGTTCCCATAAAAAGTCATATATTATCATATCTTTTTCATTGTGCGTGAATTTCCATATATATATGTATATGCATATTACGTATATATGTATGTTTAGATACTATAGTTACGTATTGATACTGTAGACATCGAAATTTTGTAAATAAATGTTGACTGATAAATCAAAGTGTCAACGCTCATGTATTACATAAATTTTGCACGTAGCGTGTGACTCAACGAAAATTGAAATGAGTTGGAAAAGTCATCAAATAGGACACGTGTCAACACCTGGCAGAAACGACTTATTTCATCTGGGATATTATATTCAAAATTAGGCATTGGAAAATTCTATAAATACAAGCCCATTTCATTCATTTTGAGGGGGAATTCATATTACACCTTGAAGCTCTGAAGCTCTGAAACTCCGAAGCTCTCAAGCATCCAGGTTCCCGAAGAATCAAGAAAGCCTTCTTCGTTCTTCGTTCATCGTTCTTCCAAGATCAAGCCCCGACGGCCCTTGAAGAAAGTGTTCTTCGTTCATCGTTCTTCCAAGATCAAGCCCCAACGGCCCTTTGGATCAACAATCATCCACCAATTCAAGATCAAGCCCCGACGGCCCTTGAAGAAAGTGTTCCTCGTTCTTCGTTCATCGTTCTTCCAAGATCAAGCCCCCAACGGCCCCTTGGATCAACCATCTACCAATTCAAGATCAAGCCCCGACGGCCCTTGAAGAAAGCACCATCGTTCATCATCCGTTCATCCAAGATCAAGCCCCAACGGCCCTTTGGATCAACAACGTCGACAAATCCACACATCCAACCGTTCTTCAAGATCAAGCCCAAAAGCCCTTGAAGATCCGTTCATCACTGTTCTTCAAGATCAAGCCCAAAAGCCTTTGGAGATCCGTTCGTCACTGTTCTTCAAAGATCAAGCCCAAAAGCCCCTTTGAAGATCCGCTCAAATCCACCTTCAAAGATCAAGCCCACGGCCCCTTGAAGAAACTTCCAACAGTTCATCCAAGATCAAGCCTCGACGGCCCTTGGATCAAGGAAACATCCACAAATCAATACCTTACGGAGATCGAATCAGAGGATCAAAATAGAGAGAGATTGTAACCCAAAATCATCAAATACAAATATTTGTTTGTGCACGTTGTTCTTGTCTCTTTCGTTTCAGGAATTTTCCGTGTTCATAAATTGGCACGCCCAGTGGGACATCTCTACCTCTCATCTCTTCCTCCGTTCAAGGAATATCAAGCACACTTCCAAAATTCAATGACGTCAAGGAAGGCTCAAAGTTGTTCCCATAACCGGCGCAAAGAACAAAGGCGCCCTCGTCGCAAGTGGTGTCACGTTGGGGTATCACGACTCGAAGCAAAGCAAAAGCTACTTCTGCCACCTCTTTCACCTCTGCATCAACTCTGCCAGGGGAACGAGAGTACCCCAGGCGCGAGCCTTGTGATCACCTTAGCCTCACTAAGGGCACCAAGGGGGGAAAGACCAAGGGAATACTCCGAATCCATGCTCTCCGATGACGATTCAAGCGGCAGTTCAGCCATGCAAGTCATGACCGCATTGGAGCAACTTCAAGTCGAGGAACAGCTTGCTCAAATGAATGAAGCAATCGCAAGACTAACTCGAACTGTGGAAGAAAAAGACTTGCAAATCGCGGCATTAGTCAACCGATTGGAGGCGCAGGACAGCGAGAAACCCGACCCAGAGGATGATCCACTAAAGGGAGGAGCTGGCGGAGACGAAGAACCCCCGGTGAAGAAAATCGATGGGAAGCCGAAACCAGACCAAGCAGCGGCACTCATGGGATCTCTTTCTATCCAGCAGCTGCAAGAGATGATCACCAACACCATCAAGGCACAGTACGAAGGGAGCTCATGTACCTCCGGGTTGTACTCAAAGCCGTATTCAAAAAAGATCGACGCCTTAAGGATGCCAAGGGGTTATCAACCACCAAAGTTCATGCAATTTGATGGAAAGGGAAACCCGAAACAGCACGTTGCCCACTTCGTTGAAACTTGCAACAACGCAGGAACCGAAGAGGACTACCTCGCCAAGCAGTTTGTGCGCTCGCTGAAAGGAAACATCTTTGAGTGGTACACGGATCTGGAGCCTGAGTCCATCAACAGTTGGGAGCAATTGGAGCGGGAATTCCTCAATCGCTTCTACAGCACCCGCCGCACTGTGAGCATGCTAGAGCTAACAAGCACAAAGCAGTGGAAGGACGAGCCAGTCATGGACTACATCAACCGATGGCGTAATCTAAGCCTCGACTGTAAGGACAGACTCTCCGAGATTTCTTCAATCGAGATGTGCATCCAGGGCATGCAATGGGGTTTACAATACATCCTTCAAGGTATCAAACCACAAACTTTTGAAGAATTAGCCACCCGTGCCCACGACATGGAGTTGAGCATCGCCCACCATGGAAAGAAGGAGCCAATCACCGATTTCAAAAGGGATAAGGTGTTCACTTCAAGAGCAGACAATCATGGGAAAAAGCCCGCCAAGGAAGCTTTTACCACCAATACCACCCCTATCAAGACCTCGTCCGCGCCCGTCAAAATCTCTTTCAATAAAGCAAGGGAGATAAAAAAAGGTGAGCCTTCCCACACCCAAGATAGGTACAAAAACACCTTGAGGGAATTGGAGCAGAAGGTATACCCTTTTCCGGACTCCGACATGGACGCAATGCTGGACGACCTGCTGGAGAAGAAGGTGATTGAGTTACCCGAATGCAAACGCCCTGAAGAAATGAATCGCATCAATGATCCCAAATACTGCAAGTACCATCGTATCGTGGGTCATCATGTGGGCAAATGTTTTATCCTAAAAGAACTCATCATGAAGTTGGCGCAACAAGGACGAATTGAGCTCGACCTAGAAGACACAGCTGCGACGCACACCACTACGGTCGTGTTCGGATCCTTTGATCCCGTGCTTCTTCAAGAAATGCCTGACCATGCTCGGCAATACTCAAACCACACTGCACATTCTGCACCACCGTCACTAGGGGCAAGCAACCAGGACGCACCTACTGACGATGACAAAGGATGGACATTGGTGACCTATAAGAGGACGAGGAAACCAAAACCGCAAGCTATAAAGCAAAAGGGGGAACAAGGGAGAAAGCACCGCCGTCGCGGCAATAGGAAGCCTAAGAGAAACATAAGAGCTGCTAAGCCAATATATGCTGGGGAACCTGCGGAGCAAAAGCCACGCATTCCCGTCTCATTGCACGAGTACTTCCCGGAGGACTTTTTCCAACATTGTACTATCACCGCATGTCACGTGGTCGAAATAGAAATGGAAGAACCCTCAAAGGGCAAAATTGTCGTCGCTGAGGGAGAAAATACTCCGACACCTGAAGAAGGTCTGCCAATACACTTTAGCATCGAGGAAGCGCTACAATTGCCAAAGAAGATACGAAGGGCATTGGCAACGGTTTTAGCGAGTCCAAACAACCACGAAGTGCAAGAAAGCAAGAACGAAGGCTTGAGGCCTCTGCCACACGAGTGTGCCACATGCTGTGCCACCGAGGACACAATCCACTTCGCCGACGAAGACTTGTTGCTAGGATCCAAGCCTCACAACCGACCTCTCTTCGTCTCTGGGTACGTAAGGGAGCATAAAGTCAGCTGCATGCTTGTGGACGGCGGGTCAGCCATAAATATCATGCCAAAGTCAACAATGACCGCAATCGGCATCAAGGTGGATGAACTATCCCTAAGCCGTCTACTAATCCAAGGTTTTAACCAAGGAGGACAAAGAGCGATGGGCATGATCCGAGTGGAGATGACCATTGGTGAACTCAAGTCAAGCGTGATGTTCCACGTGATTGATGCAAGAACTTCCTACGGTCTGCTCTTAGGAAGGCCTTGGATCCATGCGAACGGAGTGGTACCGTCCACCCTTCACCAATGTTTAAAATTTTACCAAGAACGAGTGAAAGTGATCTATGGCGACACCAAGCCATTCACCGAAGCTGAATCACATTTCGCAGACGCCAAGTTCTACATGAATGAAGACACGGTGCCCGAAACTCTTCCAAAAGAGATTAAATCCATGAGCAAAGCAGCGCCTAAAAAACAGGAGTGGCAAGCTATGCCCAAGAAGCAAGAAGAAGAAGCTATGCCATCTTCAAGCAAAAACGACGATGAACTTTCTAAACCTGCAACAACCAGAGGAAGTAGGACGACCTCAAATGGACCAAGCGTACCCGTCTTCCGGTACATCCCGACGTCGAGAAGAAAGAATGGTCAATCCCCGTTTGA